AGATCGCCAGCGGGCCTTTTAACTGCCAAAGGCACAATCCACAGTCATTCGGCACCGGCTCAGCCTGTAATTGAACCATTCCTTGCTGCTGTCAAGGCTCCCTGTGTAGGGTTTCATGAGCCACGGCATTAACGGGTAAGCGGGATCTCCAAGGATCACAATGGGCATTTCAACTTCCCCTACTGTGATCTTCCGCTCTGGGAAAAAAGTCCTGGCCTGCATCTCCCTGAACAGCCAAGTGTTCCGAAAGATGCGTGCGTCATGCACCTTTCTGGGCCAGCCTGTGTTAACGTCAATGAAACACCCACGGTGATCCACAAGCGCCTGGAGAACCATAGAGAAATACCCCTTCCGATTAACGTACTCGGATCCTAGGTGGGGTGGTGCCAGAATAGGAATGTGCGTCACATCTATCGCCCCTCCACAGTTAGGGAACCCCATTTGTGCAAAGCCATCCACTATTTCCTGCACGTTACCCAGAGTCACGGTTCTTCTGAGTAGGATGCGATTAATGGCCTTGCAAACTTGGAAAAGAGAAGACTGAGAGGGGACACGATAGCAGTTTTCAGGTATTTAAAAGGCTGTCATAAGGAGGAGGGAGAAAACTTGTTCACCTTAGCCTCTAAGGATAGAACAAGAAGCAATGGGTTTAAACTACAGCAAGGGAGGTCTAGGTTGGACATTAGGAAAAAGTTCCTAACTGTCAGGGTGGTTAAACACTGGAATAAATTGCCTAGGGAGGTTGCGGAATCTCCATCTCTGGAGATATTTAAGAGTAGGTTAGATAAATGTCCATCAGGGATGGTCTAGACAGTATTTGGTCCTGCCATGCGGGCAGGGGACTGGACTCGATGACCTCTCGAGGTCCCTTCCAGTCCTAGAATCTATGAACTTGCATCAACACGATTCCAACGGTCGACTTTCCCATGCCAAACTGGTTTGTGACTGACCGGTAGCTGTCTGGAGTTGCCAGCTTCCAGACTGCAATAGACACCCGCTTCTCCACTGGCAGGGCAGCTCTCAATCTCGTGTCCTTGCAGCGCAGGGTGGGGGAAAGCTCCTCACAGTCCCATGAAAGTGGCTTTTCTCATCCGAAAGTTCTGCAGCCACTGCTCGTCATCCCAGACTTCCATGACTATGTGATCCCACCACTCGGTGCTTGTTTCCCGAGCCCAAAAGCGGTGTTCCATGGTGCTGAGCATGTCTGTGAATGCCACAAGCAATTTCGCGTCGTACGCATTACGCGGCTCGATAGCATTGTCGGACTCCTCACTCTCACTTTGGATCTTAAGGAATAGTTTGACAGCCAAACGTGACGTGCTGGCGAGATAAGTCAGCATACGCCTCAGCAGTTCGGGCTCCATTTCCCACAGACAACAGATCGCGCTGCACAGAAACTGTTGAAAGATGACACCAAAGGTGGATGGAAACAAAGCGATTTCTGGGATGCGAAGCGATACATCATGGGGCGTTGGGACAGGACCCAGATGCCCTGCACCCACGCCCCCTTCCCACAACCCATGGCGCCAGAATGGGAAGAAGTGCTCTGTGGGATAGCTGCCCATAATGCACCGCTACCAATAGCGCTGCAATTGCCGCAAATGTGGCCACGACAGTGTGCTGGGCAGCTGTCAGTGTGGACAGACTGCAGCGCTTTCCCTACTCAGCTGCACGAAGTCAGGTTTAACTCACAGCGCTGTACATCTGCAAGTGTAGCCAAGGCCTTAATTTTAAAACTCTAACCAAGAATACCACATTTTTCCTAAGAGATGGATGAAGTCATCTTATATAAAGAATCTATGAAATACTTAGGAATAATTCTGGATTAACTATATTTATAGTGGTAAGGTTATTACCATCATCACTTTTTTTGGATTGACAATTACTATACACTTTTAGATCAAATCCAAGCACTTGTTGTCAGGAATGTTCTGTTAAAAATTAAAGAAACGAACGAGTAAAGAAAATGCCATTAATTCAATTACCTGTCTAATGTAAGATAGTTCTTGAAAAGCACATCACACTTAGCTTTCAAGATAACTAAGTAAAGATTTCCTAAAGAATCTTAATATGTAAGTGAGAAAAAGTTGTGCTTCCCTCAAAATATTCAAAACAAAAGATTAAGAGAGGAACTAAATTAACTTTATGAGTATTGTTACAAATACGAATTGGCAATGATACAACATAAATCCCAAAACAGGTGTTTGTAGGTGGAAACAAACACTTGAAATATTGGAAAAAAACAAAAACTCCACAAATCAAAAGCAAATAAATAAAAAGCCCACAAATACATGGCATATTTATTATACAAGGGCTGTCACTCAATGAAATTCTGTATTGTATTAAGTACAGAATCAATCCTTATGTGGAGAAGTGTCTGAAGGAGTATACCCACTGAACAATTCAGTAAATAACAGGGATTGAAAGTAAGTAGCCCACTTGTTTTCTTAAAGAGATATGGCCATTTTAATAGTCCTATGGAATTCCTGAAGAGTGGGTCTGGGTCTACAGAATAAATGGATACAGAGATCATGTGGGGGAAGATTGTAAAGATATTTAGCCCCTGGAAATTATCACAACCACCAAGCTGGAAGCAGGCTACTGAATAAGGCATGCTGTAGAAGAAGAACTTCTGCTGTAAATGCCACCTGAAGAAGTCATTAAGCAAGTGATTGTTCACTCTGCTAAAGAGGGAATATTAGCTGGGTTTATAAAGACATAGGACTAGTTATTTTACTCTACTGATCATGTGTTGCTGTGGCATAGTCTAAAAATCCTATAGCGACTGTTTAAAAAAAAAAAAAAGACAAGTTTCCACAGTCTGCTCAACCAACTCACAGACCTTAATCGCATGACAGCTAGGAGTGGATACAAGAAATCTTCTGGATTGCTGTACGAGGATTCGCCTTTTCTCATAAAACTTAGGCCTCATCCTACTCCTGTGGATGGCAAAACTAGCAGAACTGTTCTATTCAATGCTGAAAATATGGAAGAACAGTTAGTGCATTTTTTTGGCCTTGTACTTGCTCTCTACTCTGTCATCCTACTGCTGGAAATAATGTGGGGAGAAAGAAGTCCTGACTCAGAAAGCTCAGCCTTGCTTCAAAGACGACTGCCAAATTAAGAGCTTGTCTACACAGCATGGCAAAACATGCCAGAGGGATGTGATCTGACGAGGCCTGCATCAACAACTTCTCTGGCAGGAAGAGTTTCAGTCTCACCTCTCTCACCTTCTGGGTACACTTGGAAAATGAGTAATACATAATGGGTTCTTCCACAAGGCAAATGAAACACTAAGGATCCCCATCATTTATAGGCATAGTGCAGTCACACAAGTAACAGGTCTTGCAGATTGGTAACTCCGCCTCTACTATCATCTTAGCACCCTAATACAGAGGGTTGTCTATGCTAAAGGATACTTAACTTACCTAAACATCTATTTTTTTAAAATATATGTGCCAACAGGCAAAAGGAAATTTAGTTTATCAACTAAAACTAATTAACTAATCAACTAGTCCTAAAATCTAAGGTGAAAGGCACAGTATGCAAGAGAAGTGGATAATGCCAAGGGTTGCGAATTGCAGCAATGGGAAGTAAGAAGGACCTATGGGGCTGCTGGAATTACTCTGCCATTTATGTCCTTGGTGGAGGGCATGAGACCATCCAGGACACTGGTGTGGCCCTAATGAACGCTGCTACCCAAAAATAATCTGATCACACACACACACCTGTAATCCATGTGCACCAAAAGCAGAATCTATATGCACAATCACCTGAAGAACTATAATTGAGAACTATACAGAGAATATAGTTAGCATCAAACTAGATTTTGGCCATGTCCACAAACCGTAGATTTCAGACCATTAAGTTAGTTCAGCAGAAGATACTGAAGGAAATAACCTTCTATTATGGTTTACACATTTCTAATCTCTCTCTTAATAAAATGGACAAAAAGAAAGTTATTTGATTGTCTTAGTTAGCATATCCAACAGAGGAAGATTTTGAAACCGACAGATAATACTTCAAATTGAAGATCAAGGATATTTACATTAAAAAGGCATACTATGTTTCAATAATCCTTCAGAGAAATTTCTATATCCAGCTTAAAATATGTAACTTTGATTCACATGAAGAGTCCTGTGTTGAGAAAAACGTTCTAAATGTATTCCAAAGGCATTACAGCCTTCATTGCTAAACGCTGAAGCAGACTTGTTAGCAAAAACCCTCTAAGGTGAAGGAAGGGATGCTTGTCTGCCCAAAATTCACCATGAAGTCAACATATAACTCAGACATCCTCAATTATAGCACTAAAAGAAAATGACAAAGGGGGAAGAAGGCAATCTCATTGCTTACCTCAAAATCCTGTACTAGACTTTTGTTGAAGTAAATTCAGCCTCTGAAGGGCTGTCCTTGAGCATCTTGTATAAGAGTCAGTGAAATAGCTGAATTTGTCCATATAGAAAGCTTAAAGAATTTGTTTACTCCCATTCCACTATTCACCTACGAACCATCTGGCCCTGAACATTCTACTAGCAGACTGAGAAGTCTGTCCAGATTGACAAAGATAACTGTCACCCATTAGGATCTGGAGAGTCCCAAAGGGCCTGAACAAAAAACAAAACAAAAAATCCATTGAAAATGGATGGTTCAGCCTTGATGGTATTGAAGGAAAACATGTTACTAGTCTGATCCAATGGGATCACAGGTAACAGATCACGCAATAAGATTAGCCCTGGCAATTCAATCAACCAATAGTTTAAAAAAAGGGGAGGTTGAGAGGAGACAGAAGAGAAGACACCCACATTCCAAATGCATTGATCCTAAAAAGTCTCCATCTGACTAAAAAAAAAAAATCAAGTAATTCCAGGATCCACACAGATACAGAGGTAAAATGGAATGTTACATTTTTAATCTAATGAAATGCAATGGCCAAAACTGAAAGCTCTGATTTATTTTTCCTGCATACAGCATGCTTTCAAAACTGGTCAATAAAATCTTACCCCAGAAGAATTTTGGCATGAACTTCTTTGTTAGTCCTTGAGATTTCCCTCAGAGAGGTAATTTCTGCATCAAACCAGAATCCTCTCTCTTCTGGAGTCTCTACATTGTAGTTAACCATCACCATATCACCCACATTGAGTTCACTCCACTTCAAAATGGTTCTTGCTCGTGGTCGAAGATTATTGGCACGCATTTCTACTATACCATTCTCTGGATACCTTGGGAGGGGGAAAAAAGTTACAAATTAGTACTTGCACTATTATATGAAATAAATCAAAGGGTAAAATTTTAAAAAGTGCCTCAAGTGACTTAAGAGCCTGAGTCCCATTTTCAAAAGTGATTTGATTCCTAAATCCTATTTTCAAAAGTGATTTATGTTATTTTGAAATGTTTGCTTGTTCTATGACTACAGTCCTTGCTACCTGGGATTTGAAAAACCGTTTTAATCAAAACCACAAAGAATCACACTTATGTAAGGTTTTTGCTAGAAAAATGCTAAAAAAAATTCAAATCTGAGTACTAACCTGTCCCAGTCTTGCTCATACACAGGTCAATAGCAAAATTCCCAAACATGCCCACAGTGAAAAGAAACAAAGATTAGTATCTTGAAAATCCCATTTCTAGTCTAACTCTACCCCCATTAAAGTCAATGGCAAAATTCCCATTGACTTCAATAGCAACACAGTTTTTGAAAAATCCAACCCTACATATACAGACAGCATTTACCAACAAAATTATGCAAGATGAAGATAGCATAGGAAAAAAGTATACATTTGCTCATCAAACAGTAAGTAGAATGGTTCTGAAATTCCACAGACAAGCAAATAAACACAGCTAATCACAGAATGTTTCTCAAACTCTATTATATAAAATGGCAGATTGTTTTAAAATGTTTCTCCTTTTATTTTAGTGATTAGCACTTTAGTAAATGATAAATCTTAAAGATTTGTTAAAAAATAGAAAACCTAATGTGATTTAATAAAATCCTGTTATTTTTTAAAGTTATTTTAAGGAGACACGTGAATTGCTAGGTTTTTACAAGCAATCTCATTTTCCTCTAAGTGGTGGGGCATATTATTCCAGCATAGACATACACCACATTAGAATTGTACCGTAAATACTTCTAGTGAGCTCCATTCCTTTAAATTGGGTTATACCTATGTAGCAGGAGTAATGTAGTGATATCTATTTGAAAAATAGCTACAGTAAAATGGCATGAGCATAGAATGTGCTCAAGCTTTTCGAGGAGCCAGCTACTTAGTATAAGAACATACTCTCCTTAAATCCTCTGTATAGATCCATTTTGGCAATGGCTGTAGAAATCACAGAGCTCTGCCTATGTAATAGGGAAAATGGCAGAGTGGAAGGCTGAACACCAAGAAGAAAATTTTGCTGGTAGGAAACAAAGTAAGATACCCGGTTACAAAATGGAGAAATCAGACCTTTCGTACTGAAATAAAGCAAGAATTCAAAGAGTTCACTTCTTTATTTCTGGTATGACATAGTATAAGGAGATTCTATTTTGTAACAAATTCCAAGGGGATGGATGGACACACCCATTATGTGCAAACAACTCTCTCTACAAATTTAAATTATGAAAAGAATAACTGTTGCCTGAAGACAACTACTATAAAAAATATGTGTTAAATGTTTAATTGTTTTTAGCTAATTTTCATCTGAATTATAACAAACTAAATCCTCACTTTGTAATAATTTCTTCTAGAAGTTTTAGCAGTGCTCATGAGTTTATCAGTATTACAAGCTATACCAACTTGAACTGGTTCCAGACCATGAGGCCAAAATCCTACACTTATGAATCTGAGGCATGCTGGAAAGTGAAGGAGGCATGTTGCCTGCAGTTCAAGGTGGCTCAGAGGCCCAGGGAACACCACACTGCACTATACTTTATTGTTGCTCCAAGTAGTAACTGTACTGCCACAGGTGCCTGCTGCTGATGGCAGCTTACATGCTAGGACATTGATCATCAAACCATAGCCCAAAGTCAACAGCCCATGCTTAGAACACTGATCCAAAGTCCACCGAAGTGAATGGAAAGCCTCTGATTTAATTGGCGATTAATGGCCATTGAAACAGACTACAGACTGGCCACTCCTCTACCAAATCTCTTCAACTAGGTGTCATATCCTGACCTGTTATTGCCCAGGTAAGCTAGGGAAGAGACATGAGTGCTTCACTGTCCTTCCTATCCCTTCCTTTCTCCCCCGGGGTTCTGCCCGTCTTTCTGGTCCTGCACGTGGAACTGGAAGCATTTCAACGAATGCTCCCATGGAGTCTATGAAGGTAGGTCAGTGTCTGGAGCAGGAGTAACATTGGGGGCTGATGGAGAGGTCCAAGACCTGTGAAAACCAGTGTTGATGGGGCCAAGCTGGGGCAATCAGTATAAGATTGGCCTTGTTCTTGCACAGAACTCTGGGCAGAAGAGGGGGGTGGGGGCAGAAATAAACATAGCAGCCCTTCTGACCACAGCAGTAAAAATGCGTGTCAGCGAACCTAAGCTGTTGCGTTATCCCTTGTTGCAAACAACTCCACTTGGGCAGATGCCCAGAGCTGGAAAATGGACGTTCCTATGTCTGAGTGACAGGACCACATGTGGTGATTGAAAAACAACCGCCACAGGTGATCTGCCAGTGTATTTTGAGCCCCCGGGCCATGGGCCCCCAGACAGTATTGCTTCCCAACAGAGCAGTGAGGCCCAGTCTTCTCCCTGCTCTTTTACATAAAACACAGCAATCATATTGTCGATCAGCACCAATACACCCATTTGCCTGATGTGAGAAAGGAACTCCATGCAATCTAAACAGATGGCCCACAGCTCCCTGATGTTATGTGTAGACTGAAATTTTGGGGTGACCAGAGACCCTGTGTCTGCAGGTGTCCCAGATGAGCCCCCAACCCCACGTCTGAGGCATCCATCATTAAAGTAAGAGTGACAAGGTGGGGCAAAAGCAACTCCCTTGCATACACTGGGCAGATGTGCCCACCAATCTAGGGAGGTTAAGATGTGACTTGACATGTGCACTAACATGTTTATGTGGTTCTTTCTTGGAGAATATACCTCTGCCACCCAGTCCTGAAGGAGTCCGAGGCGCAGTCTGGTGTACTGGACCACATAAGGGCACACTGCCATGTGCCCCATCAGCCTTAAACAGCCTCTCACCACAGTGAAAGGATAAGCCTTTAAGTCCAGAATGAAGCTTTGCATCATACGAAATCTTATCTAAAGCTGTAAAGCCTGGCATCTGTCGAGTCCAGGACCACACCAATAAACTCTGTTTTCTACACCGTAGACAGGACTGACTTGTCTGATTTGATCAGGAGGCCTAGTGTGTCCAAGGTGGATAAGATTATGTGAATGCTGACCACCGCCAGTGACCTGGATTGACCTCTTATCAGGGGGCATTGGCTGCACAAAGGCTTGTTGTGGGGTTCTGGGTGCAACGGTAACGGGACTCTACAGGGGTCCAGGTGAAGGTGGTTGAGGCTCAGTTGGGGTGGGGTACTTGGGTGGGAAGGTCTGGGGGGGCTCAGTGGTGGGGTCCAGATGCTGGGGGAGTGGGGTTCAGTGGGGTGGGGATCCAAGTGCAGCTGGTTGGTGCTCGGTACAATGGGGATCCAGGTGCAGGTGGCTCGTTGGGGTGGTCCAGGTGCTGCAGGAATGGGGCTCGTCAGGGGGGTTATGGGTGTGCGGGGGTGAGGCTCGGTCAGTGCAGCATTTGTGAGAGAAGGGGAGAAGAGTTTGCAGAGCTTCCTATAGCTGGGGGAGAAATCTGAGGGTGGGTCTGACATAACCCCAGATGCCATGCAGGGAAAGAGGAAGTCCCGTCTTCCCCAGCCCAGCCAGGACTAGCAGCTGAGCCCGGCGCAGGGTGGTAGTCACCAGCTGGGTCTTTCCCAGTCCCACCACCAGCTCCACAATGTTTACATGTCTGCCGGCTGCCTTGGGCATCCAAAACATACTGGTAAGGAGGGTTGCATGACTGCTCTTGTGGCTTCCCTCCGCTTCCACATCAGAAAGTCATTTTTCTGCAGGGAAGCAAAGAAATCTGCGGGGGGCATAAATTCTGCACATGCACAGTGGCGCAGAATTCCCCCAGGAGTAAATACACTACTGACAGTGGGCTAAATTCTGCTCTTGAGTACATTCACACTGCAATTAAACACTTCTGGCTGGCCCGTGTCAGCTGACTCAGGCTTATAGGGCTCAAGATACAAGACTGTTTAATTGCAGTATAGATGTTTGTTCTTGAGCTCCAGCCTGAGCCTTGGGACTACACGAGGGGGGAGAGTCCCAGAGCCCTGACGCCAGCCCAAGTCTGAACTGTAATTAAACAGCCTTGTAGACTGAGCCCCCCACCCCCAACCCAAATCAGGTGATATGGGCTGGACGTGGGTGTTTAATTTCAGTGTAGACATACCCTTAGTTGTAGCACTAAGTTTGGCTTACCTAAGTTGTAGAAAATTTGGTATAGTACCCTCAAGCTACAAAAGTTCTTAAGAAATTATATTCACAATGGGCTACAGCATGGTTTTATTTAAGTTATAAACTTAGTATAGAATATTTTAAAAAGAGAAAGACAAAAAAGGTAAATAAGGATCCAATATTCAATAGATATTGCACAAAAAGAAACCTTTTCTTTGTTAGCTGTATCCTTACTGAACCTACTTCTAATTTTAAATCTTAATACTAGCATAGCAAAATTCTCATGTGGTCTCACATCTCTATGGAAACGTTTCTTAGCAATCAGTTGCCCATGAAGGAAGATTCCAGGCCTCCTTGGCCACAGGCAGTATTTGAGCATTCCTAGCATGTGATACAGAGAAACGTATTAACCCTATGTCACTATACAAAAATCTTTTCCTGGTACCAAGGAATTCCAGAGCATACTTTAATCCTTTTCCCATCCACCATCAGAAACTGCTGTAACAGAAGAGATAAGATTCTAAATTCACCTACTGAAACCAAAACAGGAGGTCAGGACTTTTCTGCTAGAACGATATATAATGTCTGTTCCAAAACTCAATGGTTACAACTCTTATTTAATTTTCCCCATATCTGTAATCTGAAGAAAACCGAAGTTCATTACAAATTTTTTTAAACAAGAGTTTTTAAATACACAATCAGAACTTAAGAATGTGCAACACACCTAACTGAATAATGTCAGAGCAGATCCTCAAAATAAAAGATCTTTGCAGCTTGTAAATTAAGGATGTATTCTACAGTATCTTACCACAGCCCCCACTAACATTTTTCTTAATCATTTCCTTTTTAAAAATAAATGTTAAATGTACTATTACTTCACATTAACACTACCAAATGGAAAGGAATTTTGGTTCTTGGTCTGTCTGCCATTAAGTGAATTTGGACTTACAAGGATCTCTTTCACCAACCACAGGTAGAGACCTCACCGCCCGCAAACCCACCCCTAGGATCTGTTCCTCTTTACCAGTTCAGCCATTCACCATTATGGTAATCTAAAACAGGGTTTCCCAACCTGTGGGTTGGGACCCAAAATTGGGTTGACAGAATGTTTCAAAGGTTACGTGGCAGCTCCTGTGGGTCCTGTCCCACAGGGCTGGCTGGGCTTGCTTCCCTGCTCCAGGCACTGCAACCTCTGGGGCCCCAGCGCCACTTAGGTTTGGCCGAGATGTCATGACGACAGGAGTCCAAGTAAGCCAAATCTGAGTGAGAGGCACTGTACCCCATGAGCCAGGTCACAACTCCACTCAGATAAATTTGATCCAGTCCGGGTGACAGGGCCAAACCTGTCTGGCACTGCAATCCCAGAGGTTGCAATGCCTGGAGCGGAGAGCCAAGTCCAGCCAGCCCCACAGCATAAGAGCTGCAACTGTGGGGTGAATGCCGGGCAGCAACCAACTCCCCTCCCTTCCCCTGCCAGTGGGTAGGACCCAACCGAAACCACGCTAGGGCCTCCACCCCCAAACTGTTTACTGGGTCACAACAGGCCATAAACATTTACAAATGGATCCTGAGCACAAAAAGGTTTAGAACCACTGATCTAAAAAGACATAGCTGTCTCTTCGTTCAGGTACAGATATAGGTACTGGAGTTCATAAGTAAAGCTATGAGTGTGTCATGTAGATCATGGAAATCACGGATACCGTGACTTCTGCAGCAGTGGCAGTTTAGGTGTGTGGGAAGGGGTTCAGGATTAGGGGCAGGAGGCTGGAGTGGGTGGGGGGGGGCACATGCCTTGGAGTGGGTGGCTCCCCAGCTCCCACTGGCACAGCTCTGCAGCTCCTAGGTGGAAGGGTCAGGGGACTCCGCGCACTGCCCGCGCTGGCAGCTCCCATTGGCTTTGGTTCCCGGACAATGGGTGCTGTGCAGCCGGTGGTTGTGGTGGGACACGCGGAGCTGGGTAGGGAGCCCCTGTCAGCCCCACCAACCCTCCCTCTCCCCAGCACCAATGGGGTCGGAGGCCAACTCCCTTCGCGGCCCTCCCGGACCACACCCCCTTCCCCTCCCCAAGTTTTAATTAGGGTTGTATAGTAAAAGTCACAGACAAGTCATTTTTGTTTATGGCCCATGACCTGCCCATGACTTTTACTAAAAATACCTGTGAATAAAGAGTAGCCTTATTCATAGGTTTTTCTTAATACCGAAAACTGACAACTCCTTCCTTCACCTTAACCATTATTGTTTGCAGCAGGAGAAGGTCAAGCATTCTCAGTCACAAGGGAGCTCTTTTTCAGCTAAATATTAGTGTAGTCCAGTTACCCAAGAGGTTTCTTTGAGTTTTGAAATCTCATGGAGGATTTCTTGAGTGGGAACTGACACACCCATCCCTCTGTTTAGCATGATAGTAGTAGTAGTAACCTAAGCAATGCTTCATCTCTGCTCTTTGCAGAATTTCCTATTGAGAACATCCAGGAGCAGTCAGCCAAGGGTTGATCCGCGCATCATTTATTCATCTTTCCCAAAGTGAGGAAAAGGTCTTCAATGATACAATGAAAGACCCCAGACTGACACACCAGTACCCCAGTAATCAGAATTATAGATGCCAAAATTATTGGATTGCAAAGCACAGATGGAACTCCATCAAGTTCAGGGCAACTGGAACCTCCAAGAAACTCAACACAGAATCAATTTACTAGATTTAAAACAAGCAATGCAATGCAATGCACAGCACATCTGGCTCCCAAAAATTCACTTCTAATGCATGTTTATACACATGGAAAGCAACACCACCACCACTATGGTATATCTGATTAATCAAGGTGGAAAAACAAGGAAAAGCTTACGTGGTGACTCAACAGTTCTTTTCCTAGTCCCTGAAGAGAATCTGTCAATCAAGACAATCTATAACAAAAGCACCTATCAGTTTGACTGGCTAAGCAAACACCATCAAAGCAGGAAATGGAATTATATTAAAGCAGTTAATAGAGATATGATTGTTTCTCCAAGTGGTCTTCTATGCTACCTAAGGAAACAGTGAAGTTTTGCTACTGACACCAGTATCCCTAGGTCTGCAGAGAAGGCATATTGTCATTGTCCTGGACACAATGTTTGGCTCATGCCTTCCCCCTCTTTTCTGACTGCCAAGATGGCCAGTGTCAAGCAAAGACCATCACTCATACTGACCCAGATGTCTGTGGTTCCTAAATAGACATCTGAATAAGTCTCATCAACCATGGATCCTTCTGGAGATTACATTCATCAAAGCAATCTTACTAACAGAAATCCTTCAACATGAGACATACTGCCTGGAACCTGACTGATCTCACCTCCTTTATAAGGACTATTCCCAGAATCTATATTGCTTACTAAATCCAGAAAGGCATCAATTAATCAAGTTTACAGAGGATTTGGAGAACACAGTCCTACTGTTATGTACAAAAGGAGGTACATTTCCTACATCTCTTCACTAAAGAGATGTAGGAGAAATTTCAAGATTACTTTGGTTTGGGGTTCCAAGCACTTTCTGATAAATTGGACAAGTCTCAGCTCTGGAAACTTTTGAGATCTCACTAATAAAATTCCAACATACTGCTTCAGCTGTACATTTCCAGATTTCATAAGTGAGTTTCTCAAAAACATCTACCCCACCCACTATTAGGAAACCTCAACTTCATATTGCCAATACCCACTAACCCTCTCTCTGAGCCAATGGGAGAAGCATCCCTGTCAAGATGGTTTTCCTCTTAGCAGTCTTTTCAGCTAGAAGAGTGGGCAAACTTGGTATAGTAATCAAAAAGCCCTTATCTACCATTTTTCTTGACAGGATAGTCTTTATCCCACTTCCTGCATTTGTTCCTAAGGGGAATACTGCTTTTCACTTGGATCAAAGTCAAAACGGGCGTTCGCATGACACTGTTGTAGCCAATGTTGCAAGATATTTATGTACCAGATATGCTAAACCCTCATACGCCCCTTTATGCTTCGGCCACCATTCCACAGGACATACGTCCATTTGGATGATACGCCTTTAAAAAAAAAAAGTGTTAATTAAATTTGTGACTAAACCCGTTGGGGGGGGGGGGGGGGAGATTGTGTCTCCTGGTCTGTGGTTTTACCCATGTTCTGCCATATACTTCATGTTATGGCAGTCTCAGATGACAATCAAGCATATGTTGCTCGATTTAATAACGCTTTCACTGCAGACTTGACAAAACGCAAAAAAAGGTACTAATGTGGGATTTCTAAAGATAGCTACAGCACTTGACCCAAGGTTTAAGAATCTGAAGTACCTTCCAAAATCTGAAGAGGGATGTGGTGTGGAACATGCTGTCAGAAGTCTTAAGAGCAATACTGCGATGCAGAAACTATAGAACCTGAACCACCAAAAAAGAAAATGAAAATTTTTGTTGGTGGCATCTGACTCAAATTATGAAAATGAACATGCATCTGTCTGCACTGCTGTGGATCATTATCGAGCAGAACCCATCATCAGCATGGAAGCACGTCCTCTGGAATGGTGATCGAAGCATACAAACATTTAGCATATCTGGCACATAAATACCTTGCAACACCAGCTACAACAGTACCATGTGAACATCTGTTCTCACTTTCAGGTGACACTATAAATAAGAAGCAGGCAGCATTATCTCCCATAAATGTAAACAGACTTGTTTGTCTTAGCATTTGGCTGACCAAGAAATAGGATGGAGTAGACTTGTTGTCACTAAAGTTTTGTTTCATGTTTGAGTGCAGTTAAAAAAAGTCTGCATTTGTAAATTGCACAAGAAAGATTGTACTATAGCACTTGTAGGAGGTGACTTGAAAAATACTATTCCTTTTGTTTCTTTTTTACAGTGCAAATATTTAATAAAAAATATAAAGTAAGCACTGTATACTTTGTATTATGTGTTGTAACTGAAATCAATATATTTGAAAATATAAAAATTTTTATATTATAATAAATGTAAATTGGTATTCTATTATTGTGTGATTAATCGTGATTAACTCAAAACAAATTAACTCAAAAATTAATCGCTTGAGTTAACTGCAATTAATTGACAGCCCTAGAATAATTCTATTTACATATAACAAGGCCTTAGAGGAAGTCCAATAGATACTTTTGTTCTGTGTTTGTACAGTGCCTAGCACAACAAAGTCCTGGTCCCTGACTAGAGCTGCTAGACACTATGAAAACAAATAACGATAATGCTCATTTTATATAGGGGACAGAGTACACAGCTAATATTTTCCACCCAGAAAATATTTTGTCAGCTATTTTTCAGGTGTCTATTGAAGACCCCCGGGTGCAGACAAGGCTCATTTGGCCAGGTGCAACGACTACTTCAAGGGTAGAGCAGGACCAAACAATAACAACTGTCTTGCAGCTACATGGTCTTAAGCCAACTTTCTTTACTTGGCTCACACAAGATAGTATTTTTAGCCTCATATGGCACACTTTTTGAATAAAGGATCTTTTAGTTTCAATTCTGTGTTCTGCAATAAATCCTTTAAAAAAGAAAAATGTTTGTTGGATAAAACTTCGTTTTGGTTCTCATGACTATTCCCTTCCCCCTCTCCCCCAATTTTCTTGGAGGATTTTTATTACTGTTTGCTATTTCCCATCAGTACTAGACTAATGGAACAGTGGGTACCCACATAGGAGAAAGGTAAAATTAGTTTCCTTACCTGTAGTGTTCCCACTGTTCCATTAGAACCCACCCTGTGCTTATATAATTGTTGTTCTAAGCCTCAATGGCTTGAAAGAGCACAGGAATAAACATTTCTGGTTTGATAGGAGGAGATCTAGAGAGTGAGTAAGAGAAAGTGTTTTTAGTGAAGCACTTCAATTGTTAATCTTTTTATAAAATTATATATATATTTATATATAGGTCCCAGCTGGGAGAAATGTGGGAGCTGACAATCAACTGGGATGGGGGAAGACAAGAGGGATCTTGAGTCTACCTCAAAAGCATGGAAAGAAGGCTGAGAGACCAGGAGTACTGGCCTAACAGAACAGCTGATGCCCACTTGGAGAAAGAAAGTTATTGGCAAGATAAAACTAATTTTCAATAGTGTCTAATGGTGAGACTTTCACATGCCTCAAAAGACTATCCACTGGGAGATGGATATGACTGTGCTAACTCCATTTATATTTTAAGGCAAGTTCAATTAGTGTGATGATACCCTCTGATACAACATTGTCAGACTGTGTAATTTTTTCTACAAATTTCATTTGTTTGACTGTTCTACTAAAAAGGATGGAGGCTGATATAACAATTCTTGGAAAAATACTGAGTGCTGCTTTCTATTTCTTCTATAGGGATTTACTCTTGGATAGTGGTGGCATTTGCAGAGTATTTCAAATTTGTCTTTAATAAGGTCTTTGAGAGAGGGATATATTTTTGTTATGTTTGTACAGTCTGCCTAGCACAACAGGAACCTAGTCCATACTTGGGGCTACTAGGTGCTACCACAATGCAAATAAATAATAAAGATACATGTGGACATAATCTGTGGTTCGTCTAGATTCAGAAGAAGCTGTCATTTAAAGAGGAACAGAAATCTTACTAAACTCTCTAATTACTGAACAATGTTCTGTGTTTTTCCACACAGAAGAATAAGACCACATCACTTGATTAAAGTTGGACCTTGATGGATTTGCAACACTCATCCTGATTACTAGATAGCTGTTTTGTCTGCCAGGGGATAACTTTATATCTGAAGCTTTCACTACTAACTGAAAAGTGCAGAGATCTTGCTCTCCAGACAGCCTCAGAAAAGCTGTGTTCTCAGAAGCTCACGCTTTAAATATTTAGAAAGTTCATTCCAGTGAAAGTAGGTAATCACGACTTTCAGGCAATTTCAGACAGTTAAAAAAAGAAAACAATGCAATTATGATGGTCACTAGCTAAGAATACAAACCTGCTGCAGATCATATTTAAGGAAGCCAAAAAAGTTGATTGTCTCCACCTGCTAGAAATGCATAGCTAAACCTTATGGTACAGACAGTAGAGTAATAGAATTGAAATTGTGTTTGTCGTATGTCTGCGCAAGTGACATCATGCATCCTATATCTTCTAATTCCAGGGTTGCTACACCTCTCCAGTAATTCTCGGACTCATATGAATTGACAATAGCTGAGCGGATGAAACAATTTCCTTCTAGTGGTCACAAAAGCCATTTCCACACATCTTTTTATGCTTTTGCTTGTGCCACTATCTCTCCTTTAAACAACTCTGTTCTATCTTAAAGTCAGTCTTAAAACTGGATTTTTTAAATCCCAGAATGATTCACTTCTGTCACACTATAGTGATATTTTAATCATATCTAGTGCTTTTAAGGTACACCTCCATCCCGATATAACACGACCCGATATAACACAAATTCAGATACAACGCAGTAAAGCAGTGCTCCAGGGGGGCGGGGCTGCACACTCTGGTGGATCAAAGCAAGTTAGATATAACTGGGTACGATTTTTTGGCTCCCGAGGACAACATTACATCAAGGTAGAGGTGTACTTTGCAGGATTTTCTTGTAACTTTTTAATCTTACTGATTTTTAAACTACAATATTGGGGAGGTGGGATGGATACATGACTTGTTTATATAGATGCATATGTAAAAACTTAACTAAACAGATTGTGCACAAAGACAAAAAAAATGATCCTCAAGCATGAGCACATTAAAAAACCCCACTACTATCAGGAGTAGCTAAAAGTAGTTATGTTCCAGTCCCCAACAAATAGCAAATCAATTTTTACTTCTCCTAGCAATAATTGTTTTATTGTATTATATTGAAAAAATAAAACTTAAAACAGACATTGCTGATTTAAAGTTTCTTTTGAAACTGATGAACATTAATTATTACCCTCAGCAAGGTATACCTCCTTTATACTCCTGTACAAGGGTACGTGCATCATCCTCTACTATGAAGACTCAAAACACAGAAGCACCATGTCTTTTAGTCTCAGCAATGTAACGGAATATTCAACGTTATTCTTTAGTTGCTAAAAGTCTGTTTAAATGGAAGAATGCTTTTAATATCTTGGTCCCAATTCTGTAAGCTGATGCACCAGTGAGGACTTGTGTAGCGAAATCCCATTCAACTCTATGGGACTTTGACACAGGGGTCTACACTGGCACATTCACTGCAGGTTTGAATCTTTACTTTTTCACCCAACACCCTCATTCCATATTGAAATTATGGAATTGCTTTCAATCCCTCAATTGGGGGACTGGTTGTAAAGATTTACATGAAAGGCAGACTGGTAACTTTGTGCATCAATATTACCCTTGAATCAAATTCATCCAATTCAAGCACCAGATTTTGCTCCCATGAGAGTTTTGGCTCTCCATTTGGACTTCAATAGGAGTAATATAAATTTTAAAAAGTTACGCTTTACTTATACTCATGTCTTATGCAGCAAAACAGATACAGCAAATCTGATTTTTAATGTCACTTCCTTGTTAAGGGGCGGAAGTTAAGTTTCATAAAGATGAGCCATAAAAGTTAAATACTTCATAGGAATTCAGGAGTAAGAAAAAAAATTCTCATCACGCCCCAATTAGTCATTAAATCCAAAAGAAATGTGTTATGGCTTCTTAATACTGCTTTTTGGTTGTAATTTTGAACTTGCTCTCTCTAGGATCCAAGTTTCTTCAACAATATTCTTGGTTTACACAAACCAAATAAATTCACACTGTGTCCTCATAACAATATCAGGAGCACTTACTCATCATACTTGATATGATAAATAGCATCTTCATCAGTGTCCATACAGTCTGAATAAGATGTTGAAGGTGCACTGTCCAAATTATTTGTATTCTCTCTAGAATGATCTTGGCTTAAGTTTCCATTAGTCCTTCTGTAAGTATTGCCACTTTTTGCTTGAGCTTTACCATTCTTATGTCCTTTTGTTGCTCGGGTTACATTTTCTATGTGAGCTTCAAACCAGGCTCCAATGCTGACATCACGGGCATCCACCAATTCATTTATCTAAAAATAAAATTTTGACAAGAGTTAATGTTTATTTCCTAAAAATCGGGTTAAATGGGGAAAGAGAACAACTGGCTAAACAACTTGGTCATTTTGAGCTAACCTGTACTCTCAGTTTGTGTAACTAAATTAAAAAAACCCACTACATTTAATTTTTGTGCTTTTAGGGTAGAATTTTAATATTTGACTCACCTGTAATAATATTTAACATGATCATTTATAAGTAATTCAACAAAAACTACTGTTAGGCAAGATAGATTTTTATACCAAAAATTAGAATAGTAGTCTATCATTCTCCTCCTCCACAATATTGTTCCCAATCATCAATAAAGATTTATGCCTTTAGCAGCTGTCTTCCCAAGGGCAGGAACTCCGAATATTAGCTCACAACCTACAGAGTTTCTAAGACTTCACTGGTTCCTCAATTATGGAATAGTTATTTTTCCCTTAGATGTTTCCTTTAATCCTGCACTGCCCTTGATTCCTCCAGCCAAGAGGACAAGAAAAGGCTCTCCAAACCTATCAAAGCTATTACCACAGCTAACCAAGATTGAGATTTCCATTCATCTTACACCTTTAAGGGCTGGTCTACACTACCACTTAAGTCCATGCAACTTATGTCACTCAGGAGTGTGAAAGACTCCCTTGTGTGACACAAGTTACATCAACCTAAGCGTTGTCCACACCAGAGCCATGTTGGCAGGAAACACTCTCCCGCCGACATTATTTCACCTCCACGAAAGGCGGAAGCTATTATGCCAACAGGAGAGCACTCTGTCGGCATAGTGTGTTTACAGCAGCACAACTGTATCGATGTAGCTGTGCCAATGTAGCACTGTAGGGTAGACTTGCCCTCAGAAACACAACTTTGGACACAACAACATTCCTAGCTTCTGTGAACCTGAACCTGGAAATGAAGTACAATTGCTGAAAAATTGCACACTACCAAGCAACTAGACTATTCTATAATATATTTCACTTAAAGTAGATAGATTGTTCACCTAAATTCTTCTGTTGACTAAAAATGTTACTTTGACAGTGCAATGTTTTATCTATGATTAAAGTTACAAGACCACTTAGGTAGAAAACAGATCAGTTACTTAGGGTTGGGTTTTGGGTTTTTTTTTTTTAAACTTGATTTCTGAACAAATAAGTACAGATATCTGAAACATGAACCTGGATTCCAAACAACATCTACAAAAATCTATCACTCTTAACATAATACAGTCAAACCCCACAATAAGGCGCCCCACCATAACGCAAAATCGCATGTAACTATCACAATCTGACCCCCGTTTAAGACATACAGTAATACAGTACTGTATGTACCAGTGGTCCCAATGCCATGACGCCTGCCAGGCAGAAGAGAGAAGTGCCAGGCAGGGGAGAGAAGCTGCGGCCCTGCACCTGCCGGGGACAGTGAGCTCCGGCGCCCGCAGCCCTGTTGTTCTGTCCCTGGCAGGCGCGGGGCCATGGCTTCTCTCTGGCTTCAAGAGGAGCCGCGGCCCCGTGCCTGCCCGGGACAGAGAGCTCCAGGGCTGCAGGCACCAGTGCTCTCTATCCCCGGCAGGCGCAGGGCCACGGCTCCTCTTGAAGCCAAAGAGAAGCTGTGGCCCCACGCCTGCTGGGGACAGAGAACAACAGGGCTGTGGGCACCGGTGCTCACTGTCCCCGGCAGGCGCAGGGCCACGGCTCCTCTTGAAGCCAAAGAGAAGCTGTGGCCCCACGCCTGCTGGGGACAGAGAACAACAGGGCTGTGGGCACCGGTGCTCACTGTCCCCGGCAGGCGCGGGGCTGCAGCTTCTCTCCCCTGCTGGGCACTAGGCCGCGCACATCAATGCACTGCCTTGGGGACTTCTGACGGGCTTGAAACCCTGCTATACTACGACCCCGCATTTAGCTCTATGTAATTTTTTGGACCCCAAACATCGTGGTATAGCAGGGTTTCACTATACCTCCATCCAGTCTGTACTCTGAGCAAAGAAATATTGTAGCAGTCTGATAGAATGGAGTTGTACCAAAAGAAGAAATGGCATATAAAGGAGAAATACATACTACCAAATTAAAAGTACATTCTAATACTGCTCAGACCAGGTCCAAGTTATTTAAAACAAACTTCTGAGATGTGGCTTTTTGTTCCTGCTGGGCCCATTTCAACTATTACCACTTTAACAGATGCTTTTCAGGGCTTTATTTAGTTTTAGTTATTTTGCCAAACAACTTTTTTAAAAGAAACTACACTTACACCGCTTTCTTCTTCTGTAATAATACATTCCTTATATAAAGCATCTACCTGCCCCTCCCCCAAAAACATTCTCAAAGTGGGTATTATTATCCCCATTTTACAAGTAGGGACACAGAAGCTAACAGGCAATGACAGAAACAGCCCTTAACTACCCACTCGACAATACTGCCTCAAAGAGTAATCTTTTCTGAACCTATGCAAACTTGTTTAACATAAGATAGGTGCAAAAAAATTTTAGTAGTGATAGTAATTACTACTACTATTTCAAATGTGTGAGTATTTAAATACTTTACAAGCACTAATGAAGGCACAGATCCTACCCTAAAGAGCATAATAGATGAAGAATGGAGGATAAAGATGTAAAATACAAAAGACCATGGTGAGAACAGGTATCTATCATAGTAGTTACATGGTTTTGGTGTTCAAATAAATAAGAAGTTAACTAATCACTAGTCCCCTTTCTCTTCCTTCACTCCCAACCATCTTCCACAATTTAACCCTCATCTTTCTCATGTAAATTCCCAGATTCCACTCTCTTCCAACATTCAGCAGTTCTTACATGCGATAAATAAAATAGGTAAGTAGATGGCTTAGGTCCTGATCATCCCTCATTTTAAAAACACATGGGGAGCTAGCTATGGAGGCGACCTTCCTACATCACTCTGAGTCTGCATTATCCTGCTCTTCCCTACCTTCATCTGCCTGACAGCCAAACTGTGAGGGAATGACATTACCAAGGATTACCCCTGATTGCAGCTACTCCTGGGATTTCCTATCAGAGGAAGTTGTAACATAGGTCCAGACTGTATAAATTTTCCAGGTAAAAAATATCAGCAAAAAGATAAGGAAGACACCGAGAGTCCCGAGCACATTCTTCTCTCATTCTCCTCTCCCAGAGTAGCCCCACCAATGTTCCCGCTAATTTTTTATGTCCATGTGCAGAATGAATTGTGTTACGTGCACCAGTATGAAGGTGATGTGTGGCGGGGGTAGGGCCGAGTGGTTTGGGAGGGGGCTCAGACAGAGAGTTGGGGTGTGGGCTCTGGGGTGGGGCCAGGGATGAGGGTTTTGGGGTGCAGGAGGGGGCTCAGGGCCAGGGCAGAGGATTAGGGTTTGGGTTCTGGCTGGGGGGGCAGGCTCTGGGGTGCAGGCTGCCCGGGGGATGGGGGGGGAAGGAGGGAGGGCAAGGGAGAGAACTCCTCCCAGCCTCTCCTTGCCTCAGCAGCCCGGGGCAGCGGCATCTCTCCCTGCCGGGGGAGCTCCAGGGCCGGGGAAGCAGCGCCTCTCCCCACTTGCACAGCCCTTGATAGCCTGCTGCATGCCCGCACAGCTTATAGGGAACTTAGGGCCCTACACCCGGACAACACCCTCCACTGGGTTTGGAGGAGAGGGAGATGGAAGGCAAGGGTGACTCAGCCCATCTTCTGTGTGGAAGGGAGAATCCCAGCCTTAGTTCACTTCTTGTGGAAACTGCAGAAAAAGTAACTACTTACAAAAGATTTTTAAAAAGGAGTATAATGGCTTTGTGGGGCAGCTACGGAAGGGCATTCCATGCACAAAATGTATTGTTGCAGAAAGCAGGGGGACAATTGTGGGATAAACAGACAAACAGGGCTACAAAGACTGGCATCACAGAGGACGGGAAATGATCTGATAAGACAAGAGGAAATAAATAAGGGACAGAGTTGTATAGGCCCTTGAAAGCAATCACAAAAAGCATGCACTTGATGCAGTGAAGATGGGTAAGCCAGTGCAGGGATTCAAAGAAGAAGTGAGATGGTCAGGTTCACATGCAAGGAAGATTATCTTAGCAGCTGCATTTTGTATGGATTGTAGGAAGTCATACGACTACTGGGATGGCCTGTGAGGAGGAGGAGGTGGTGGTTAAAGTAATCAAGAGGTGTGATGAAGACCCAGAGAAAAGTTGTAGAGATGTAGCCAGAAAAAAAAAAAAAGGTTAGGATCATAGAAATGCAAGTTACATAGGCAAAAAGTGGGAAGATTTGGACACTTTCAATTTCTGTGGTGAGGAAGTCAATTAGTGTAATAGCACAAAATCTTCCTTTTCTGATCTGTGCTGAACAGATATTTTGTGTATTATCTAAACTCAGGGCTCTACATTGTGACAGGTTCGGTCACAGAGACCCCCTTGAGACTGTCATCTGATGTGCTGAAACTACCTCTGAGCCCATTTTCCCTGTCAGCTTGGGACTTCAGAACTCTGTCTTGTTGAGCCAGACACGCAAACCTACTGCAACACAGACCCAGGGTTCGAATCACATCCCCAAAGCTGCAGGCTTTAACTGAAAACCACTTGGCAGATACTCTTGTCTCCAGCACCCAGACCCCAATGGGATCCAAACCCGCAAATAAATCAGTTTTACTCTGTATAAAACTTATACAGGGTAAACTCATGAATTGTCCACCCTCTGTAACACTGATAGAAAGATATGCACAGTTGTTTTCTCACCCAGGTATTAATCACTTACTCTGGGTTCAATAAACAAACAAAAAAGTGATTTTATTAAGAATAAAAAGTAGGATTTAAGTGGTTTCAAGTAATGACAGAACAAAGTAAGTTAACAAGTAAAATAAAACAAAACACCGCAAGTCTAAGCCTAATACATTTAAGAAATTGAATACAGGTAAATCTACCCCTTAGAGATGTTCCAATAAGCTTCTTTCACAGACTTGACTCCTTCCTAGTCTGAGCCCAATCCTTTCTCCTGGTACAGTCCTTGTTCCAGCACCGGTGGTCAGTAGGAAATTTCTCATGACTGGACC